TCTTCTCCAACAAGGCAAAGGAGGATCCTACTCCCGGTGGGAGTAGGACTCCCCCCTTGGCGCGCCTCCTTCATAGGCCGGTCGCCTCCCCCCTTGCTCCTATATATACAGGGGCAGGGGGGCACCCCAAAGACACAACAACAATTGACCCTTGAGATCTATTAGCCGTGTGGGGTGCCCTCCTCCACCATAGTCATCCTCGATAATATTGTAGCGGTGCTTAAGCGAAGCCCTGCGATGGTAGAACATCAAGATCGTCACCACGTCGTCGTGCTGACGGAACTCTCCCTTGACACTCGGCTGGATCGGAGTTCGAGTGACGCCATCGAGCTGAACGTGTGCTAGAACTCGGAGGCGCCGTAGTTTCGATGCTTGATCGGTCGGGCCGTGAAGACGTACGACTACATCAACCGCGTTGTTCTAACGCTTCCGCTTTTGGTCTACAAGGGTATGTAGATTACACTCTCCCCTCTCGTTGCTATGCATCACCATGATCTTGCGTGTGCATAGGAAATTTTTGAAATTACTACGTTCCCCAACAATTATCTACCACACAAAAAAATTGGATTTTTTTTTAAATTTTTTCTTTATTTCTTTTCTTAGCATAGGTGTAGATAAGCCCAGGAGCAAAAACTCCGCGTTCCTTTTAGATCAGTAGTGATCTAAACATTCTTATATTTCATTACAGAGGGAATACCACATTTGTCCTATAATATAAGATGTTATTACAATCCATAATACTCACAATGATGCAAAGATCAAGGGTTTAATCTCCTTTTTTTTAAATGCAAATGACTAATATTCAACTCGATTGTGAGCTGTAATGACATGTAATATCAGGAAACTAAGGATAGTACACCATAAATTGGTGGGATTGCTTTGGAAGATTACTGAATCTCCACATCGAACCCATGCACCATAGTGCCAACATAGTACATAGAAAATACAGGAATGCAGCCTTGCCTTACAAAGTTACACAACAGTCGTTGTAGAAAGAAGTCATTGTGGAAAGAAGTTACATTTTGCTAGAACTCATCTAGATGAGATATATTTTGGTCTCAATCACCTTTTATAGCCATTGGATGTGATGCTATAAGATGCGTGTGTGCTAACGTGGATTGTATATCTTCTTGTTTTCAAAGTGAATGAGACCAAATTATATCTCATCTACTCCATAGATGAGTTCTAGGTACTCCCTTTTATGATTGTGCATCCATGCTGAAGGGAACAGCAATATACATCAACAATAGCAACAGAACCTTTTAAGCTAAGCTGAGTAAAACGTAAACATAGTTTTCTGAATAGCTGCAGTGAGCTAGCAATTCATCCTCTTCCTTCTCTGCAAACCGGGAACACAGTTCTGCCTAAATTCCTGAGGAAATCATGTATGGGGACTGCCCTGGGATGAACCATTCAAAGGGCGCCTCTTCATCCTCGAGGAAATAGAGCCACGATATTGTTCAGGTGCTGGAAGCGCAAACATATCAGAGGAAATAGAGCCACGATATTGTTCGGGTGCTGGAAGCGCAAACATATCATTGGGTGTTGGAAGTACAGACATTCCATTATCTTCTTGGATGCCAGGGCTAAGAGTTCCTGCTTTATCTATAATAACAAGAATGTAAGATAACCACTCCAGGGATCAAACTAGCTAGAACACGAAAACAACAGCCATGCAATTCAGGTTACTAACATAGAAAGATAACTAATTTGAAGATAGAGATCTGAACTCAGGATTAACTTGTCTCATGTGGACAAACTATGTTTGTTAACTCTCAGGTCTTTATTAACAAGTCTAACAAAGCTGATGCTTTCGTTATCTTGGTCATATACATTCATGTAGTCCTGCCATAGTTTTCTATGCATGGGTAAGTTGTAACTTGTTGATGACCTGAACTGCCGTGTTCCTCTGGTTACATGAGTGAGTTTCAACTTGTCAGTAACCTGAGACATGCAGGAAGATAACAACAGAGAAGAGGGGTGTACCACTGTTAAGCGTGTTTAATCTGGGATCCCAACCAGGCAGACAAGGCCCTGCATTCCTTTGCCATGATTCCTCAAACCCAGCAAGCTCATCTGCAAGAGAAGAAAAAAAAATAGCATCAGAAACAACATGAATAAGGGTTCCGGCAACAGAATGACACTAGAATAGTAAAACCTTCACTCAAGTTCTGCAAAGTTTGCATGGTGTTAACTTTTCCATCGCAGTTCAGTTTTCTAGTCAGTGCATGACCCTGCAGCAACGGAATCATGGCTCTAAATCATTTATCCTTGGTGTAGTCCAAAGAAATAAAGTCATATCTCTGGGTTGTGAAGAAAACACACCTTATTGCCAATGCCACGTGCGATCCTGTGAGTTGCTTTACCACTTGTTGTGTCTGCTTCCTTACTTTCTTCCATTGTAACCTAGAAGACATTGAAGAAACAATCACCACCAGAACTTTGCACCTTAACAGATGACAGCACTGCTGAGAGGGACTTACTCCATCTCCACCACTCCTCCTAGTCGTTGAAGACATATAACATGCCCCATTTGGACCACCATATGTAACAGTTGAGCTCTGAAACATATAGGTCTGTGGCTGTTGATATGATGTGCCAGCCCTGACGTACTCTTTCCCAAATTTCTCATGCCTAGATCTCTTATTATCTGTTAAAAAATTATCAGCATTAGTATCCTGCCCTTGTTTTCAGCTGTTTTGTTAATCTTTCTGACATGTACAAAGCACATATTCTCATCAGTCCTTCGGTAAAAGAAAGAGAATCACATCTGAGTGAGGATCCAGGGAACCAATAACATGATAGCAGGCTAGCCTGGCAACAATACCAGCTAGCACTAAATCTTAAATGATAGCAGCAAAAAAAACAAATAATGAATTTGGATAGTTCTAGTGTATACTACCACAGCTACAGGTATACAGGTTTACTCCAAAACAATCTTGTGGATTCCTGAGTCTATAAAGACAGGAATTGGTCCAGGGTTCCAGGCCACATGGGGCATGTACTAAATTGCATAACAAGAAACAGCAACGAGTCATTACCAAAGTCATATATCTTCCTCTTCATTCAATTACTGACAGACAAGCTGAAACTAGATTGCGAGAAGTAACATGCAGGCAGCTGGAAAAACTCCTATTAACAGCATAACATAAACCAACCTTGAACTTCATCACCAGAGTCCTCCACATATGGCTCTTTGCAAATCCTTGGATGTTTCATAGAGTTAGTTTTCTTCTTCTCATCATGTTCATTCGCATCCGCACCATCCTCGTCGTCTGAAGACAACTCCTCAATAACCGGCCCTTTTGGCCTGCTTGGTTCAGGACCTTGCTGCTGGAAGCCTCCTCCATTTAGAGCTGTGTGTGGCCCGAACATGCTTGAACCAAAAATGCTTTGCTCAAATAGGCTAGGTCCAATCAAAGAACCAGAAGGATTGGTGAAGAAGGGATCATCAAAGGGACTTGACCCACGAAAGAAACTGGACATAAGGTTCCCAGGTGGTACAAAGCCGCCAAAAGCAGGAAAAGGGTCCCCAAAACCAAAGAGACCACCTCTCCCGCCCCTTCCCCTTTGCATCTTGTACTGAAGCTCTCTGCCCAGTTAAAAAACGTGTGAAATGTAAACAACAATGATATTATTTCATGGAAAACTAAAATTGTGATACATGATATATGAAATCTGAGCCAAAAAGTTGTACTCAGTACTCAAATCCAGGAATCCAGATCGGTAAGTAGAAGTTAGAACAAAGCATATACTAACACCAATCTAATCTATCAAACATAACAAGAAGTAGAATTAAGAATTTACACACCAAGGCCCTACTTGGCAAGCGTCTCTGACAGGATAAAAATGGTATGAAAGTGTGATCAGGATGCTAATTTCGCTACAGTATGTCGCTATTACATAAGGAGTAAAAAAAAAGCATCCGATCAAAGATATCAATCCAATATGTTCCATTCTAACACCAAGTACACCTGCAGAATTGCAATGATCATCCAACCAAATCCCACTGGAATGGGTGAAAGACTGAATACTTCTTCTTGCTCAATTCAGTAGCACCGCTGCGGTGCAATGTGCTGTACACTTCTATGTTCTTTCGTATTTAGGCCTACATGTTATGAATGGATAAATCACGCTGATATTACCTCAACTAGGTCACAGCAGCAGCATCTATTCACCACGAAATAGCAGTAAAAGTGTTTATATCCCCAACACAAACCCTAGCTCGGATTTTTTTCAGCACGCACGCACCAAAAAGGCACGCAAAAGACCGAAAAGTCGCCGGGAAATGCCCCGGTTCCCGCCGGCGACGGCTCCGATCCAGAATAGGATCAAGGCACGGACGGAGAGGAACTACCGAAACAACAGAATAACTAGTCCAAAACGAGATGAAATCGCCGCGAAAAATATGAATGGAACCCCACAAATCAGTGGTGAGGATCAGAAATTACATACATGTAAGGATTTGGGGCGGAACCAACCGAACCTGAAGTTCCCGACGAGGAGCTAGGGGGGCGAATCGCCGATCCTATCCGAGTAGGGTGCAAGTGTTCCGAGCTCGCGATTTGAGAATTTGGGGGAAGAGAAGCGGGTGATTGAGTTGCGCTTGGGCGAGCGACCTGCCTCTGCCGCGTGGTGTCTCTGGAATTCTCCAGACGCGATTTACATGGGCTCGGGGCGGGTTAAGGGACTTGTCTCGTTTTACGCGCTGAAAAAATGGGACGCGTTGGCCCATCTATTATCTCGGCCCATCTCATTTACTCACGCACGCGGCACGCGTAACCGAGGCGAGGTTTCTAAAAAAAAAGTGTAACCGAGTCGAGACAAAACCCATGTTTCTTTCTCTTTTTCTCTTTTTTTGCGGGGATATGTTTCTTTCTCTATTGCCAAAAAAGATGTTCCTTTCTCTGCCTAAAAAAACATGTTTCTTTCTCAAAGATAACCCGTCAAAAAAAGAAAAATGACAATAGATTCGTTGGGAAATCTTGTGACTTCCGCAACTAACGACCACAGGATTCAAGGGAGAACCATATCTTAGAAGGTGTTACAAGCCGATGGAGAAGCCCGGCATCGGCGAGGCATTTATCCTTGTGACTCATAGAGCCGAGGATCATCCCCATCCTCCTTCAACCCCAGAGCCATCGTCATCCGTCGATCCTCGAGACCAAGCGCCAGATGTCCCGATATCAAACCACAAACTCATATTTGAAGCTGGCTTTCCCTCTAGCGCTACCTGGGACAACAACCATCAACCGAAGACTTAAAACTGCCGACTAGAAGAGCCGTCAAAAAGACTGAGCTCACCGGCTCCTTGACTCCACCATGGCAGAGAAGGAACTCGAGCTTGGGTATTATTCTTGCATGTGCCGCCGCTAGTACCGCCAAAAACAATGGCGCACCACACACATTACCTTGCGCCGCCTCCTCCAATGGCATGAGGTCACCACTTCGAGACTCTAGACTCGCCAATCAAAAGGAGTACCGAGGACACATTTCTACAAACCCCTCCGTGAAAGACACAGTCGACATGGTGACCAAGGAAAATTTATTCGATGTGACGTTGCTCGCAGTGGCGCCGCCCTTCATGCACTGTGATTACTACATGCAATGAAGGGATTGGGCCTCACGCCGTAGGCCACAAACTGGGCTGCCTGGGCACCGTCTCTACCGTTGGTTGCCCGTAGCATCAAAGCTATTACCTTCGTATCAAAATATAAGACACACCTATCATATTTGTTGCCACACCGAGCAGTGTGTATAATATTTGGGAAAAAATCAATAGAAAATAAAGTTATCTGTGTAAATCATGTCTCATGACTGAACAGACACAATAATAGATGACACTGAAATGAACTGAACTGCACACCTAAACTACTGGACAGACGGACACCACGATCCCGTCCAGCTGGATACATAGATGCATGCTGCGCACATTCGTGCAGGCTGCATGGTGGCCTCATACGATAGGGCCAAACCAGTTAAAGGCTCCAAGGCGACGGGAACCGTACGTGGTACTACTTATCTCTTTTGGCATCTCGGAGCTTATTCTTTGCCGCCAGTTGGAAGTTGGCATCTCAAAACCCATGGTCGCAATCATGCACGCGCACCTAGCTAGCTACCTTTGCTTCTTCTTTTTTCAGTTCAGGATGTGTGCTAGCCACCTGCTGCCAGTTGATAAGTTGGGGTTCCCGCATGCAGTTTATCTGACTGGCTGGGGATGTGCAGAATGACAATTTAGCAGCTTGTGTGCCTGCTGAGATTATATTAGCAGGCCGATCGACCAACAAACATGCGTCCCAAAATAAGTGCCGTTGATTTAATATAATTTTGTATTAATTCTATTGTAAATCAGCGACACTTATTTTTGGATAGAGAAAGTAGTATATCATATTGGTAGTGCAAGTTTTGCCTTTTGTGCCCAAGAGAGAAAGCTGGAAAGTTGGTGGAATATGCCATTGCCCACTGCAAGAGAAACCCTATAAATATAGTATACACGGCCAGATAGATGCACGGCAAACTAAACCAAGTTCAGTGGATAATCTTTAGACAAGCTTACATGCAATATATAACTAATACTTGTCGTACTTAGCGAGTAGTAGTGATCAGTAGCTTCATTGGGCAACAGATGTTGCAGAATGCGTAGCTGGCTAGTGCGTTGGAAGTACTGACTGGTGACTACTGAGGCATTTTCTATTTCGTTGTTAGTCTTAGGGTAAAAGCGCTGCTGTAATCTCAACATCAGCATGTGCACCCCAGCCAACCCACTAACCATGCAAAGGGAACACTTGTTAAGCCAGCTGCAAGAATCTTCCCCAACAAATTCTGACGGGTGGATACGGTCTGTCTAGCTATGTTACATACTTGCATGTCCCCGGGATCAGGACGTGCTTACCAATGGTTTACCGATAACGGCCACTTTTACTAGTGGAGGGAGCGTGATGGTTCGTAGTTACTTTTATTTAGGGGGGAGTCTGGTCATCTGGTGGCACCCTTTATTCAAATGATCATAATTTCGTTTACCATGCCAGACAGAAAATGCTATGGAATCATCATCCCAATTAACTGTAGATAAAAACTCATAAGTAAACCTAGCCAAATTATGTGCCGCTATGTTTGACTCTCGCCGACAGTGCAAGAAAAAGACTGCACCGATGCTTTGCACTAGTTGGAAACAATTAGCATGGGTAGCAGGACAGGGACTCCAAATTTCAATGTGCTTTCAAACACCCTATAGAGAATAAGGCATTTTTCACCTCATCTCCAGTGTAAAGGTTTCAACAAACTTTCATTCATGGTGTAGTAATGATTCTGACCCTGCTCGAGGTCCAACCCCCTATCCAACATGGCACGCCATCTGGACGGTCAACAAAAGTCAAGGTCGGTCAACACAAGTCAAGGAGGTAGTCGAAGCAAGCTCTTGTCGGTCCAACCAAACCAACCTCGTCAACGAAAGTTTAAACAAACCTTCATGGTCGATAATTCAAAGGAAGAAGACCGTATAAAAGACCATAGTGACATGCTACAAAAACATCACTTTACTCATGGTGCCCACACACACGACGAAAGGGATGCAAAGCTTAAAACCTCATCAACAATGTGGGGATAAAACAAAATACCTAGCTAGATTCACATCCTAGCTCCTCGTACAATTCAGGAATAATCCAAACACCCGTTTTGATCTTTCGTTCTTCTTATTAAAGTAACTCTTGGCCCGAGCTCCTAGAGAGCCAGTTATCTTTCCAAATATTCCTATTATTTTCTCATAAACCCTCCAAATAACTTCGTATCTAAGAACCTCTAGACCATACATTATACCTTGCCAAGATGCATAAGAAATCTTTGGAGAAGTAGTATTTAAAAGATGTCCATGAGGGTAATATATAGCCTTCAGCAATTTGGCACACGACCTGCTTGGCCAAAAGGATTTGGTTAAAAAACCTGAGATCCCAAATACCGATTCCTCCGCTCCCTTTTGGTCTCACCAATTCGTCTGAGGCTAACCAATGAGTTTTTCTTTGATCTTGCTCATTAGCCCACCAAAAAATTTTGATAAACCGAGACAAGTCTTCACAAACTCTGCTTATTTGTGAACTTTTTTATGAGACCTTTTCAAAAAAAAATGTGAAATGGTGACAAAAAAAAATACTGAATGTAGACTATCTTTAGGTAAATTTATCTCTCCTGGTAGATTTTACACAATATTTACCTTAATCTACCTTCTATATTCCAAACAATAAAGTGACAGTGTGAGAAGGTTCAGTTGTTAAGTAGGCAAACAATCTAGCAAAGAAATAAAGTCCAAACTAAATGCAAACACAAATAGAAGAAACCAAAAACACTAACAAAACAATTAATGTTTATCGCTGCTTATGTACATGAAAAAAAAATTGCTCATTGATTCATATATTCTTTCATCTTCTATTCATTTGTTAAGATGCACATCATGGTATGAAGGTTCGGAGGTTCATACATGTGCATATGCCTCCAAAATAACCTATGAACTTATTTCCTATGTTGTATTTGCTTTTGCCACTTGTCAATTGTCCCCGTATTATGGGCCATCGGTTGGAATCAAA